GGGATTAGAACCGGTGCCCATTTGGGATCGCAGCACGTTCAAGGCGAGGACTTTTAGCCACTACACTATCATGCTGGGCCCAATACCCGGGCATCTTACAGCCCTACTAAGGAATAGCCACAGGCTTCGGGCACTGTCAAGCATTCCAGACAAACATTTAACATCACCACAGCAGTTGTCCAAGGGTGAAGAACTCCTTTCCATTTTCCTAACACCTGGAGGGTGCTTGTGATGTGCTGAGTGGGACACCCAGAATCTGGCTGTGGCCTTGTCTGGGCCAGCAAACAAGCCAGTGGTCCCTACATGATGCAAGGATGAAACTGACAGAAGCGGAGAGGAGGACAAATTTCCAGAAAGAGACTGGCAAGGACAAGCAAGCCAGAATGAGTGGAGGGTACAGGTGTTGAGGCACAGGAAGACTGGCAAAACAGACCTTCGGGACGTAATTGTGGCACAGTGCTTTAAGCTGCTGCCTACAACCCTGGCATTCCATGTGAGCGCCAGTTCAACTCCTGACTGCTCCACTTCTAAATCAATTCTTTGCTAATGAACCTGGGAAAGCTTGGGTCACCCACATGGGTTAACCGGAAGTCTTGGCTTCAGCCTGGGTAAGCCCTGGCTCTTAAAACCATTTGGAGAATGAACCAATAGACGGAAAATTCTCTCTTTCCTTCTTTTTTCTGTCAATTGTCTTTCGAACAATAAAAAAAAAATACATCTTTAAAAACAACAAAAGCTCAATCAGAGCCCTTTCTTTGATAGTTAAGGCACAGGGCTTCCAGCCAGACAGGAGAAGGAGGAAGCTCCGAGCAGTGCAGCAGAAGAGCAGGTAATTACACATGTCGCCCAGGGCCCACGGCTGACTTGTCCGCCCAGGCCCAGGGCCTTGTTGCTGCTGCTGCTGCTGGTATAACCAGCAACTGTCTACCCTTGACTGTAGCTTCTTCACCACTGACCAGGAGCCTCAGGCAGCAGAGGGGACTGACAGGCAAAGAGTGACACACAGTGCCATCTTCAAGTTCACAGCTGACTGCAGGCCACACAGAGAGAGAAGACAGTCCAATGAGCCAGAGTCCCCTGTTTGGCTTTTTAAAGATTTATTTTATTTTTATTGGAAAGACAGATCAGATTTATGATGAGCCAGAGAAAGATCTTCTGTCTGCTGGTTAACTCCCCAAGTGGCCTCAATGGCCAGAGCTGAGCTAATCCAGAGCCAGGAGCTAGCAGCTCTTCCAGGTCTCCCACACGGGTGCAGGGTCCCAAGGCCTTGAGCCATCCTCTACTTCTTTCCCAGGCCACAAGCAGGGAGCTGGATGGGAAGTGGAGCAGCCAGGAGCACCAATATGGGATCCTGGCGTTTGCAAAGTGAGGATTAGTCAGTGAGCCATGGCACCTGGCCCTCAAGCCACTTATAAACAATGCTACAGAATCCACAGTAAATGTACACACACCCTCCTATGCACTTTGTATCATCCCTCTAGATGATCTGTAACACCTTAACAATAGGATGGAAGTGCTATTGTCACACTGTATTATTCAGAGATCAAGAATATGTCTGGAGGTGTTCCATAAGGTTGCTTTTTTTTTTTCCCTTGACTGTTGGTGACTAGCCATTCACTGGATCTGAGCATCTGGAGAGGGCAGACCATAGGAGATGACAAGCACCAGGTGGCTGGTGAGCCATTGTCAGAAGTGACAGTAGCCTGTTTCCACCTCAGCCAATCCATGTGGCCTCCGTCCACTCTAGAAGTTTCCCTACCTTCAGCATTTCTCTTTGCCACTCCGAATCCCAGGAATGTCCCATCCCCACCTCTCTGGCTGCAAATGCTAACTCATGCTCCAAGGCGTGGCTGGGTCGCTAGTGAGGGCTCCCAGCCCTTTCCCACCCGCACAGCCGGCCCTGCATCCGGCAGCGGTCCAGGCAGCTCTTGGTAATTATCCTCTAGCTCAGGAGCCAGGGAGGCTGTCCCCTGGAGTGCGAGTTCCACTTCTGCCCTCCACCATCTCTTTTTCCTCATCCAGATTATAATCATCAGGCCTGGGATCTTGCTGCAGGCTCATAGATGCCTTTGCTCATGTGACTTCAGCCACCCCCTGCCCATAAACCTGTGGCAGGACACATTATCTTTTACAATAAGGAAAATGATAGACAAATTGCTAGAGGCCACACGTGGCGTGCACGAGCACCTGCTGTAAAACTCAAGCATCGTCTGGCTCCGGTATCAATGAGATGCTCAAGACTCAAAGACAAAAAAGCAAGGCAGGGCCCGGCGCGGTGGCCTAGCGGCTAAAGTCCTCGCCTTGAATGTGCCAGGATTCCTTATGGGTGCTGGTTCTAATCACAAGCAGCTCTACTTCCCATCCAGCTCCCTGCTTGTGGCCTGGGAAAGCAGTCGAGGAAGGCCCAAAGCTTTGGGACCCTACACCCACGTGGGAAACCTTGAGGAAAGTTCCTGGTTTCCGGCTTCAGATTGGCACAACACCGGCCATTGCGGTCACTTGGGAAGTTGATCATCGGATGGAAGACCTTCTTCTCTGTCTCTCCTACTCTCAGTATATCTGACTTGGCAATAAAAATAAAAATAAATCTTAAATTAAAAAAGCAAGGCATAACCTAAAAGGAGGAGGGACCCATCCAGCTGTGTGACCTCTGCCCAGTTATTTAATTTCTCTGGGCTTCTATGGCCTCATTGTCAAGTGTGGCTGATCCCCCACCTCATCCATGCCCAATGCCCATCAAGATTACAGAAGGCAATACAATGAAGTGGTTAGAATGGTGTCAAGCACTATAATTAGGAGCAATTACTATTATGACTTGGCTGATTCTCATAGTCTCTTAGCTCATTAGACGTATTTTTTTTTTCTTCCCTAACACACTTTTCTACCACATAATACACGTAGATAGGTAGTCATGGAGCAAAATAAATGTTTGTCGACTGACTAATGCCAGGATTTAGGCCTGTTCTCATTTTCTTTTCTTCCCCCTCTTTTGCTCTCTGAAAGTGCTTAGCAAGCAAAAATTCTCTTTCCCAGTTCTTATCTCCACCACTTCACGTGTATTCACCAACCTCTCTCTCTCTTTCACACACACACACACACACAGAGTAAAATCAGGCCAATTACAAGTGTTCCATAGAACATAAAATACTGAAGAACACATCTCCTCATTGAGCTGCCCCTGGAGAGCTACGGGAGCAGCAGACACAGCTGGCATCTTGCACAAACCTAACTTCTATCACTATAATAAAGGTCAAAAGCTTGCAGTTTGCTTCTCTGTTGCCCCAGGTTGTTTTTTTTTTTTTTTCCCCAAGTGTTGGCTATTGTAGAAGCAAATGGGTTTTTCTAGAGGAACACCTGTTTGTTTTCCCTTTGCCTTAAAAAGCAAAACAAGAGGGCCCGGCGCGGTGGCGCAAGTGGTTAAGTCCTCGCCTTGCACGCCCGGATCCCATATGGGCGCCGGTTCTAATCCCGGCAGCCCCGCTTCCCTTCCAGCTCCCTGCCTGTGGCCCGGGAAAGCAGTCGAGGACGGCCCAAAGCTTTGGGAACCTGCACCCGCGTGGGAGACCCGGAAGAGGCTCCTGGCTTCGGATCGGCATAGTATCGGCCCGTTGCGCTCACTTGGGGAGTGAATCATCGGACGGAAGACCTTCCTCTCTGTCTCTCCTCTCTGTATATCCGCCTTTCCAATAGAAAAATAATAAAAATAAATCTTTAAAAAAAAAAAAAAAAAAAAAAAAAAGCAAAACAAGAACCCAAGGCTGCTGCTTGGACAAGAGACCAGGAAGCTTCAGGTCACCAAGCAGGAAACACCCAAGAACGTGTGTGACACACAAAAAAACTTTGTGCAATCGTCCTGATGGTCAAATATCGGCAGTGAAGAGTGGGACTCCAGCCCAGCTTGGGACTTGGAGCACCCACAGCCACCTCCCCACAGCTTCTCTCCCAGGACAGCCCAACTCCATCTTCTCTGATCATTAAGAACAGGGAACCAACGGATCTGCTCACAACTTCAGCCATGGAAACGGAAAAAGAAACCCCGCTACTCTGAGAAACGAACCTTCCCAAGCCATGCACCCCAAACATGCCTGCTTTATTTAATTCAATCGATCCACCAGGCAGTGAGACTCAGAGGTCAAAATGGATTGTGGCTTTTTGTTGATGGCACTGAGGAATTTTGGCTTCCAGCCCCGGCCAGGCAGGACAAATAGGGCAGTCAGGCTCTTAGCCATCAGGCCCAAACTGGGGAGGGGACGAGGAATAAAGACAAAATCTCTCGGGTCAGGACTCTACTTCAGCCAGCCCTGACCAACAGGGTCCATCAGGCCCAGCAACCAGTTCCTGTCCCCGACTTCACTGTCCCTTCTCCGGCCCCTAGTCCCATTCCTGGCTGGGCCGCACTTGGTCTTTCCCACATTCCTTCTCACCCTGCAGATCTCATCCAATCTCAGGCGGACAGCTGAGACTGCTGAGAGCCAAGTTTATGAGGCCCCTGGGAATGGGGTGCGCTGGGGTGGGAGGTGCAAATGATGAGAGCTGCAACTGAGAGGCGCAAGAGGGGTTCTCTCCCCATCCTTCAACTGCCCAGCCCGGCGGCGCCACAGTCGTCACGGTCTTTAAGTGTCCCCCCACGCGCTTCCCTTGCCTAGGCGCACCCTTTCCATTTGGCAATCCTTTTTGGGGTTCCTTTCTTTCCCGCCTGCCCCCATGGAAGCCACTGTGTGGTCCCCTCTCTGTCCAGCTCCCTTCTCCAAGCCCGCCCATCCTCTCCCCCTTGCCCTTCGTGTCTTACTTCCCCGGGGCCACTTGGGGTACCCCGCAGGTCCCCCACCTGGCCACCCAGGATCTCAAATCTGTGCGCGCTTCAGATGCATCTTGCTCGCGGCCGCCGCCTTGTCCCGGCCTCTCCTGGGCCTCCAAGCCCGCGACTCTGGCCCAAGCAGCTCCCGGACACTGCGTCTCTCCAGGTGTCCCAGGGATGCGCCGGGATCCCCGCTCCTCACCTGAGTCCGCTCGAAGCTCTCGCGCTCCGCCGCCTCCAGCCCCGCGCCGACCCCGCGCCGGCTTAGCACCTTGGGCAACGGGTTGGGCACCTGCTTCATGGAGCTGGCCATCCGGTCCATGTCGCCGAGAGGAGCAAGAAGTCAAGGGCCCCTCGGCCGCCCCGGGATCCCCACGGCGCCGCCCGCCCCGCCCTACCCGCGGGGATCCGGCGCTAACGGGACGACTTCCACCTCCTATTGGCTGAGAGAGCTGCCGGTCTCCTAGAAGCGCCGCCCAACCTCGAGAGGCTTCCCCCACCCCCCCAGCCCACCCCCGCCCGCCCCCTCCGGAGACCCGAGTTTGCTCCTCCCTGCGGTGTCCCTCAGGCGCGTCTTGATTGGCTGGGAAGCCTGTCTATCACTATCCGCCGAGGAGACGAGGCGGGGCCTGGGCGGGCTGTCCGGACCTGCCCTCGCTCGCCCCGCCCCCGGCGGCCCGGCGCGCCGCCCGCCTCTCCCCTCCCCCAGCCGGCTGTCCCCGCGCGCCCGGAGTCGCCGCCTCAGGCGCCCGGTTCCCGGGGCTGGGCGGGCCGGGAAGCCGCGCGCCTCCACCGGGAACGCTGGCTCGCCCGGGACTAGCGTGTTTACTCGTGTGGTACTTAAGCGCGGCTGGCGGACCGGGCCGGCTCGGGCCCCGGGAAAGGGGCTGCCTGAGGCCAGGCTGGGCAGAGGAGGTCCCGCTTCGGCGGCGGCGGTCCCATTCCCCCCCACCCCACTCCACCCCCGAATCCTGACCCTTCCCGCCCTTCTGTGGCGATGGCGGAGCCTAGGCTCCGGAGAACGGTCCGGTTCTCCGCTTCTAGTGTGGCCGGCGGTCAATTGGTTCTTGGTCCCCGAGTCGCCCTTCCAATCTCCGGCTCTGACGGGGCGACTTAGAAGCTTTGCGTGAGACTCTCCATTCGGGTGAATAAGATTTCTTTTTTTAAAAAGAAAACAAAAAACTCCGAATGCTGAATGCGTGACAACTTGAAGCAGGAGACAATTTGGGGGAAGGGGGCGGGTCCTAGTGCATTTTTCTTTCTTTTTTTATTTCTAAATAAAAAGCGTTGGTTAATAAGCCACATTCAGTGGAGAACTGAAGGAGGGGGCATGCATTTGTTTGCAGGAGCTAACGGGATGTACATTTTCAGGGGAGGAGGCTGGGGGTTGGAGGCTTTCGTTCCCACGAGTGTTGACCGGGTTTCGGGGACCGGGTGGGAAGGAAGCCTAGGAGGGAGGCCCCTGCAGACAGGGAAACATGATGTGGGGGCCTTGAATAGAAGGGAAGAGGAGACTGTTACCTTGTAAGGAGTTTGAGGGTCTGATATCACCTTGCACCTGCTGGGATGCAATCCTTGTGTCACCTTATTTCCTGACTGCGTTGCCTGTCAGGAGGCACCGGGAGTTGACAGGAACTGAGTAGGGAAACACCACCCTGTGGATGCTGACTGGGGAACTGGAAACCTCGGTTCTAGAGCCAAGTGCACACGCTAGGGAGACTCAAAAAGTTTGTGCTTGGAAAGCGGAATTGAAAAGTAACTCTACTTGGATGCAAGAAGAAAGCTGACGTCTATGCATCCTTTTTTCATCAAAGGCGCTTTCTGTGAACTGATTGGGGCAGCCCAACCTCCCGCTCTGGAAAAAGCTTTGACGGGCAAGTGGGTGGGTGGGAACAAGAACCTGGGGAGAAGTGGGCGGGGCCAGGGTTTGGAGGGGAGAGCCATCTCTGGATCCCTCTGAAGGTACCTTGGTGGATTTTGCACTGGTGGGAGAAAAAGACAGTAGGTGGGGGTGATGAGTGGGATTTGTGAGGGCGTGTTTTCAACTTGTGCCCTGTAAAGCTTTGCCATTCAGAGATCCAACAGTTTAGGAAGAGACTGGATAGGAAGATGTGACCTAGTTAGGAAAATCCACGAGGGTGAGTAGCACACCTGGGCTTGTTGAAAAGCTATTCGCATCCTAGATCTGAGGGGAGAGGGGGCTGTAATTTTGGGAAAGGGAGCATCAGGCACCTGCCGCCTGTCCAGGGTTGTGTCCTTGGGTAAAAACCACAGTGGCCTGGCGTGGAAGAAGCTGAAGGCTGGAGACCCTAGTCTGTCTCTCTCTCTCTCTCTCACTTCCACTGATATCCTGCTAGTGGCTCGCATTGGGCAAAGCCACTAGAAGGGAGGATGAAGGTGACGCTGCAGGACTGCCCTATCCCCTCCCTCCCCACATACATTGGGGTACAGCATGAAGCTTCGTGCTGAGGATCCAGCTAAGGAGTGATTTATGACCCTTTGCCCAGACTTTATGGCATCTGTAAACACAGGTCCTTTAAATGGGGATTAAGGGATCAGCCAAGTTCTTATTAGAATAAACTAGAATAGGAATTTGTGGTTCAGAGGCACCCTGTGCGGGAAAGACTCAGGCAAGTTCCCTTCCTCTGTGAAAGTCAGTGAGGGAAAGTCGGTATCTCTGGCTTGCCATTGGCAACAAAGCCCTTGGCTAAGGCTTGGGGGAGATACACCTCACAGGGCTCTGCCAGCTGCAGTGTCCCCACAAAACCTCACCACCTCCGAGGTACTGATGTATTGTCTCCTGCCCTTTACAGTTCATGCCCAAGGCCCCAAGCCCAGCGCCCAGGTGACTACCAAGCTGCCTGTTGCCATAGTGGGTGAGTTTGCACTTTTCAGAATTTTATATAAATGATCTCATACATGATGTGTTCTTGTTTTTCATTCTAACTTTTCCCACTAAGAGTACATGTTCTGTAATGCATCCATGAGGTCACGTGTGTTCTTCCATAGCTTGTTCATTTTTATTGCCCAGCAGTATTAGAGAGTATGGATAACTCCCCAGTTTGTTTATTCATGAACCAGTCAAGGGCCATTTGTGCTGTTGCTGATTTTTGACTGTTCAGAAAAGCCGCTATAAGACAGGTATGTCTTTGTATGAACGTATGCTTTGATTTCTTGTGGGAAGATATCTAAGATGGTGATGTCTGGGTTTGGGGTTAAATGGATGGGTAACTTTGCCAGAAGTTGCTGGATTGATTGTCGTCTGGCACGGCTGTATCATGCAGCTGTCCCGGTTGCTGCTTCTGCATGTCAGCACTTGGCATGGTCAGTCTTTGGTTGGGTGAGTGTGTATAATGACATTTCACTGCTAAGTTGGCATTTTCTTTGGAACTAATCATGTTAAATGTTGTTTCATAGGTTTCTATGACAGCTGTGTGTTCTCTTTGACAAAGTATGTCTTTTGTCCATTTTTTAGAGTGATTTTATTTTTATATGTTTATTATGCATATAATATTAATATATTTTTATTTTATTTATTGGAAAGACAGATTTACAGAGAAAAAGAGAAACAGAGAGAAAGATTGTGCATCTGCTAATGCACTCCCCAAATGGCCTCACTAACCAGATCTGAGCCAACCCAAAGCCAGAAGCCAGGAACCTCTTCCACGTCTCCCATGTGGATACAAGGTCCAAAGGCTTTGAGCCTTCCTCCACTGCTTTCCCAGGCCACAAGCAGGGAGCTGGATTGGAAGTGGAGCAATCAGGTCTCAAACCATCACCCGTATAGGATGCTGGTGCTTGAAGGCAGGGTATTATCCTGATGAGCCATTGCACCAGCCCCCTTGCCCTTTATTCATTTTTAAAGCCTTTCTCTCGAAATGCTACAGACTTTCAGAAGAGTTACAAGTGAACACAAAGAGTTTCTAGGTACCTCTCACCTAGTTTGTTTAAATTTAACTCTCCTATCACCAGTGGTCCAGTTATGAAAACAACCATCAACACTGATACAATACTGTTGTTTAACTGCTAGGCTTTCTTGGGATTTCCTGTGCAAAGATGCCTTTGTGCATAGCCAAGATCCTTCTTTGTTCTCAGTTGTGCAGTCCCCTTATTCTCCTTTTCCTCAGCCTCTCCGAACTTTCACACTGGTGACTAGTACTGGCCCAATATTTGAGAAGACATCCCTCAATTTAGGCTTAAGGTTGATGTTATGAATTTTTGCTATAATACCCCAGAAGTGATAATCCCCTCTGAGCCTGTTCTCTTAGGAGCTACATACTATCCACATATTTTTCTTTCCAGTAATATTAAGCACAGTCACTTGGACAAGGTGCTCTCTGCTGTGTTTTCACTCTTCTCAGCTTTGTAAGAATGAGCTTTGTTCAGGACCCAAGACGACAGACAGACAGAAGCAGGGAGACAGCACCAAGTGGCCCAGCTAGTGAACCAGGGCCAAGAATCTGCAGGGAAACTTGATCTCACCCTGTGCTATCAGAATAATGCCATTGACCAAGATGGGGAGTATGTGCAGAGAAAGAGAACAGATCCTCTGTGAACAGCACCAGGTTTCAAGGGGCACACAGACATGTCCATCAGGCAGCTGGAACATCAGCAGGGCCATCACCATTGCTGAGGTGCCAGTGAGCAGAACCCTCATGGAGATGGCAGGTGAGGCTGTGACTGGGTCAGAGAGAAGACAACCCAGGACAGAGGTGTGGAGCCAGCCACAGACCAGGAGATGACACCTCAAAATGAGCATCCAATAAAGCACTGTCTGCAGTAGATCAGGCATACATGTTCAGTTTTACCTATTTTCCCCCTTTTGTGAGGAAGGGAAAGTACTTGCCCACTCCCATCCATTGATTCACTCTCCCAAAATTTGCAAAGGCTGGAGCTGGAGCCAGGAACTCAAACCATTTTTTCCCATGGAGGTAGCAGGGACCCGGTTACCTGCGCCATCACCTGCTGCTTCCCAGGGCCTGTGCTGCTGCAAAGCTGGGGTCCGAAGAAGAGATCCACTCAGATACAGCACACAACGTCTCAATAGGCAGGGCAAACACATGCCCCAGTTTACCTGGTTTAAATTATTCATACAGGTCAAGCCAATGGAGGCACAGGTGCATGGTGCCCGAGGCTGAGTCAGGGATGGACAAGGATAGGGATCTGAGGCCCAGTTCCATTGGTTAGGTTTTATTTTAGCCATGATAGCAAACATACCAAAAAGGGAAAGTAGAGGAGACTGAGAAACTATGGAAAAGCCGAAAGCAGACAGACTGTAGTGTCCTCAAAGCCCAGCAGGAGAGCAGTGAGTGACAGAGGGACCTGAGGAGAGT